AATGCCATTTGCATGTCGCATCGAGTTCGTTTTCACTGTGATGGTACACGCTTCGTGGCCATCAAAGAGCGAACGCTTCCCAATGCAGTACCTCTTCGCTGCATTGGCTTAAACGCGCACAACTAAACCCTATTTTATTGGACAAAACCCAAAACGCTAGCGGTTAAGGATTTATTTACTACCAGACAGGCAACGCAAATCAGGGATGTGAAGTAATGGCACTAGTGCAGTGTTAACAGATGTGAAATGCTGGATTGGGTTTCGAGGTGGCTAGTACGGACAATGGAGATGAAAGAGGAGGTTTGACATAAGACCACCATGTACAATAGAAACGTGGATGATTCAAATGAGCACAGAAACCTGTCGCTCTTGGAAAAGAACACTACTTTTGAAACCACTGTTCTCCTGCATTCAATAAGCTCTCCTTACATGGCTAATTATATCATCCCCCAAAGTTCAGTTGTTTTTACTCGTTCACGTGCCCGAAACACGTCCACTTTCCAGCAACTAATTACCAGGACTTCAATTTATTACGCCATCTTCCTGATTTGGCAGCATTCCTCTCATAAGATTCGTAGTGCTTTACGATGCTTTACCCTCCTCCTACCTTGAACCGCATGCCACCTTGCTCAATTTCGTTTTCTGCAGATGTGTTCGAGTCAGCTCTGATGCCGATACATTTACCAACAAATGTGAGAAAATTTAAGGTTTGCATGAGAACAAGCGTCTCTTTCTTTATTCCTCTGAAAAGCACTGCATTTTTGCCTATCAGTGAACCTCTCTCCGTAATTGGTAATTCAGACAAGCACAAATGCGCGCATTCCTGCGTACAAATAAAATTGAGTGTATGGAAGTGCAATATAAAATTTGGGCATTTGAAAAGTCAGTTTGTGACAGTAAGCTCTCGCAAAGCACTATCAACCACAATCATCGTAAGTCCCAATGCCATCAGAGATCGACTAGTGCAAATTTGCCGGTGTTTTCTCAGCGGTGATGTTTGAGCACATCTTATGCTTCTTCAGCTGTCGAGCATTACTGTAAAAACCAGTTTTATAATCTAAATTTGCAACCGTCGTCGCGGGGATGTTTGTGCATGAAGAAGTATTCCATTCGAAGCAATGCACCCCTTACCTCTCCTTAGCTTTGTCGACACAGAAAACCGAGTGACCGAGAAAAGAGGCCACACAGAAATCTGATTGTGAACTTCATTTGGCCAACACAACTGCCACTAACATTGATGAACACATTGATAGCGGACAATCTTGCCATTCTCAACGGATATGTTAGTGATAGGTAAACAAGCTAATGGATGCGCAGGCAGCAATCAAGCACGGAGATACTTTAATGTGTTTAACGTAATTTTAGTGTCCAAAATTGGAAATTTTTT